CAGGTTCAAACAGCAGCAGATGTATTTGCTCAGTGTGGTTTCTCCTCTGTTTCAGTAAATAACTTCTGCCTTAGACTGAGTGGGTACAAATAAAACTGTGCTTAATTAGGCTAAAGGACACCATATTTTACCAGCCTCCAGCATCCCTGCTAAGCCAGGCTACTATGCCTTGGAGTAAAGCATACAACAGGTGGATCACTGCTGGTAGACTCCAGAAGACTATCCAGCACATTACCTAGCAGAAAAATTCTTCTTTTGTGTGCTATATTCTCAGCTGTGAAGCTTTTATAGAAATAGAAGCTTGTTAATCTTTAATATAGTTATGTGCAAACAATAGAATTCTGCAAATCAGCATTTTGAATTTCTGCAGGACGGGGTTTTGGTTAGGAATATTTTGAAGGACCTGAACAGGAAAGGGTCCAGCAATATTAAAGGTATTAGCTGGTTTAGGTCAGAAGCTATGTTCAGACTCTGCACAAAGCAGGGAAAGGTGGAAGTAGAGGGGGCACAGACGTGTACTCTCTTATTGTGCGAAATTTGGGTAGAGATGTGTATTCTGGGTAGATGCCAAATCAGTCATATTCTGAAAACAAAACACTGATGGGAGAGGAGCCCATACCTTTTTTTAATAGCATCCCCTCAAGAATCTCTATCACTTTACAGTCAAATATGTAATGGTCCTAATATTATGTGGAATTCAATAACCGTGCTCTACAGAAAGAGGAATTACTTAACCTACCCATGAATGCAGACATCTCTAGGGCAGGGAATAACTAACAGGGCTCACAGCACCACATAACAATGACAGGATTGAGCAGAGGGACTGGCAAGCCCTTCATCTTATTAAAGGAAACAGTGAGACCTCTATTCTCAACAGATGGCAGGTGGGAAAGAGCTTCTCAAGGTCCTATTTGATAGACTGATGCACAGTCACCATGACTGATCTGCTTCTGAAATAAGAAGTGCTGAATTGACTTAGCTATGAATTTAAGCTCTCATTTTAAGGTGCCAGGCATTAAGTATCTGATCCCTGATGCCCTGCTGAGACTCAAGACTGGCAGCACCTGCTCTATGGTGCTCTGTAGCCTGTTCCCTGGGCTAGGTGAGTGCTCCTGGGCTGGCCCTGAAGTGCGGTCCCGGTGATCTTCTCCCATCCTAAAGCAAGCCCCACATGTCATGCCTGTGCAGTCATTGTCTGTGGCTAGCACTGATGAGTTTCTGCTAAATGCCATCCTTCATTGAGTTGATTTCCATACAGCAAATGAAAGAAGATCCCACATAATCCAGCTAAGCAAGCCTCTTCCTTTCCAGATGACAGGGAGGTTTTTCACACTGCTGAATCTTGCAAGTGAAATCTTCAGGGAAATGATCAACAGCATGAGACAGGGAAGCTCGCAGAGTGATGGCTGCTTACAGAAGGAGAAGCGGTGTCTGCAACTGTAGGCTCAGTTTAGTGGCAAATTATGATCTATTGGAGGGAGAAAAGCAACACAGCCAGGATAACCCAGCTGAGGTTGCTATTTTTTAGCAAGTTTCTTTTTCTGTTTACAGTAGCACAGAATAGACTTTCTTCACTTGGAGCCTTGTGGGTGCCAGTCATTAGTGATTGCTCGTATCGTTTCCTCTGCCCAGAGCCCAGGGCAGGCAGGCTGGTGCCAGCCTCACTGAACATCTCTCATTTGGAGCTGTTTGGATGAACCCTGGGGCAGGCGGCTCTTGAGCCGCTTACACTGCCTGTGGGAGCTGCACGTTAGTCTTACACCTCTGTTTCTCTGTGTGTACTGTTAGAAAGTCCCTGCCTTATGTGGCATCTTCCTCCCACACTGCTTAACTGCCTGGAGATGCTCAGCCTGATCTGCAGTCCACAGGTCTCTGGATATGAGGCTATGGGGAGAGAGTGAGACTGTGTCTCTCTCCAACAACATGAAGGAGGCCTTCTGAAAAAAGCCAGCTGCACCCTGTGCTACCACCGCTACCCCAGGTGGGATGAAAGGGGCCCCACTCCTTTGGGGACTGGTATGTGAAGGGAGTTTCCTATTTGTACCAGCAAGTGGTTGTGCAGCTGAGAAGAGGGGAATTGCTGTTTCTCGCTGCCCTGGTCTGAAAGAAACTCCTTCTATTATGGAAAACCCTGAGCACACAATCCCTGTGGGAGGCAGGAAGCAACAGCGGGTTCAAGCTTCTCCTGACCAGCCTGGTCTATTAAAGAGAAGTTCATGCTGTTTTCCTGCTGGAACTGTTGTGAATTATAGTGCAGATGGACCTGTTGTCCTTCACCGGAGCTTGTGTCTGGGAAACATTTTCAAAGCTGCAGCATTACTGGGAAAAATAGATCAGAAGTATCATCATGAAAAAAAGGAGGATTCCTCCTCCAGTCTAAGCAGAGAACAGAAAGAGGCACTTGTGTAGCTAATGGAGGGTCAACCTGATGGATAGCGTCCTACCCAGGGACTGTGCAGGGCTATGATTATAGAAATAAACAGCAAATTTTGCTTGCTCACTTAGACCACTGCTCCCTACATCTGTGCACTGCTTAATGCAACAAACCTCAGTCTGAGTTAGAGCAAAGGAAAGTGTATTCCTGACAATAGAGGTAATTATTTTTTTTATTGTAATAACCCTACAGTCCCCTTTTCAAAACTTCTTTGTCTTGTTTCCCTATAGGAAGAGTGCCAGAACTATGTCCGAGTGCTGATTGTTTATGGCAAGAAAGTTTTTACCTGTGGTACCAATGCCTTTTCACCAGTGTGTTCCAGTCGACAGGTTTGTTTTGCCTCTTTCACAGTGATAGGGCTGGATGCATGCTTTGGGGCAGCATTTGGCAAGGCATCATGGTTGCAGAGAGTATGTTCCAATATGTTTAGCTGATCTAAAATAATTTTGGTTTTCTTCTATGGGTCCCTTTGGGCTGCTCTGGGGCAGTGGGTGTATCTGCAAGTGGGGAGCAAAAAATTTGTGTTATGGGTGAGCTGGATCTGGGCAAGGTGCTACTTATGTAAACCTTGGTATGCTGCTGAAAATGGGCAATATAGACAAGATTTGCTGTGAGTACCTCCTGAGCTGAATACTTAAATGTTTCCTTAAAATAAATGACAAAACTCCCTTTGGCTTCAAGGGAGGCAGGAGCAGGTCCAGAGCACTGTTTACTTTTATAGTTTTTTAATGCCAGTATGCATTGAGATGGTGTCTGTGGAGAATTAGAAGCCTGTGCTGGCAGCAGGAGCACCTGATCACACTGAGTGGGTTGGGGCCTACAGGTTTTATTTGCTATGGAATTACCCTTCTTACAAAGCAAGGGAATTAGTGAGGCTCAGACTCAAGTTCTTACGTTGGCAAACGATGGATGTAAAGATCAATTTACAGTCATCGCTGACATTACATTCTTATTACATTGGCAAACGATGGATGTAAAAGATCAATTTACAGTCATCACTGACATAACATTCTCAGAGCTGCCTGTTTTTTTAAAATCAGGGTTTTGCTCATAGTGCTTATGGATAAACAGAATTCTCTATATGAGTAAGAAAGCCAGATGCTCTTTAAATTCTCTTCTCTCCTTTTAAACACAGGTAGGAAATCTTAGCAAAATCATTGACAGAATTAATGGAGTGGCTCGGTGCCCATATGACCCTCGGCATAATTCGACAGCTGTGATTACATCACGAGGAGAACTCTATGCTGCAACTGTAATTGATTTCTCTGGTCGGGATCCTGCTATTTACCGCAGTCTTGGAAATGTTCCCCCACTTAGGACAGCACAGTACAACTCCAAATGGCTTAACGGTAAAGTCATGTGCATCATATCTGAGCAAGAGGTGTATTAAAGTCAGCTTGACAAGCTCGTAAATCTTTCTCTCTGATTTGATATTGAGATCCAGAGTTAACAATGGGGAAGGGTTTCTGCTGCAATAATCAACGCAGCCTAGAAGACATCTAAAAATAGCCTGGAAGTATTTCAGAATATTTAGTATTTTAGAATATAGACAGTAGGTCTTACAGGCTACTTAACATGTACGTGGGTCTCTTGTCTTGTTAGATGACCAAATACATCATTTTAACAAGAAAAATACTCAAAGATTTGAAGATCAAAATTAACTCAAAGCATCACATCATATTGTTGACCTAGTTCTGCACAGTGTTAAGCACCCTGTAGTCTTCCACTGCCTCAGCTGAAGATGGTTGGTTTCAGTGCAAGATCAGTCCAAAGATGAGAAATTTCAGAGCACATTGTGTTCCCTGTGAACCTATGCTGTTGTGGGTTTATAGTTACTAAAATCAGCTGTTACCCCAGTGTGATAATACCCTGCATCAAGCAAGCTATAGAATTTCAACCAGCAATGTCTGAACCAAGTTCACACCTTCTGACTGAGCAGGCTGTAGGGATGGAGACCCCAATGTCCCCTCTCTATCCTTTGACCCAGGTAAGTTGACAGGATATTCAGAATCTGTCTACTGGATTTCAGGACCTTTCAATCAAAGATAAGAGCAGTGGGACTGTGCGCTCTCTGCAGCTCAACAAGACTGAAGTAGGCTTCTGCAGGCATACTGAAGTCAATATGGAGATCGGAGTTTTAGATGAAGGACACTGTCAGGACAGACTCTGAATTAGGACCAAGAAGCAGCATAACCCATATACACTCATTAGAAATTCGTGCCTCTTGTCTGCGCATGAATGAGGAATTCAGAAGGAATCCACATGGGAACAGGGGAGTAAAAGGAAAGACAAACAGAAACTGAGTTTCTAGTCTGTGACTGGAAAAACTAACGTGACTCTTGGATTTATACCCTTGTGCAGCACTGGTAACATTGGAGTAATTTCATCCTGTTCTGGCCACTTTTCAACAAGAAACAGAAAACTTGAAGATGATTCAGAGAAGAGCCATGCAGTGATTTGAAGCTTGCAAGGCCTGCCTCACAGTGAGAAACTTAAGGAGCTCAAATTATTTATCTTTCTGAAAAGGAGATAAAAGGTGTTTTGCTCATGATGTGGAAGTACTTACCTCAAGAGAAGATTTCTGGCAGGATAAAGTTCTTTAATCTAGCAGACAAGCCATGACAAGAGTCTGTGATTGGAAGCTGAAACCAGATAATGTCAAATGGAAAAAGAAGTACAGGTTGCTGCTGGGGCAGTCTTTAGTCATTTGAACAAGTCACTGAGGAAAGTGATGGATGTAAAGGAATGTGGCATTGTGCAGTTGTATTTAGTTTGGTCCAATTCACCTGTTAGTCACAGGATCCGATGGTGGAATTGCAGGGTGAAATTCTCTGGTGTGTGTTAGAAGGTCAGATGGTGATCACAACGGCCCCTTTAAGGTTTACTGTTTGAAGAGGAAGGTTTGATGGGAGATGCTTTGCAGTGCCCTCCCCTCTGTGCCATCATCTGCCTCCCAAACCTGCCTTGCAGCAGCACCAGCCTGCCTTCCTCTCCCTCTGCCGTGGCTCTGCTCTCCTCTCACTCCTGGGCTGCAGCATTAAAGGAATTCTGAACTTTCTTTTTTTCTTCTTCCTTTGAGCATTTCTCAGGAATGAACATTTAAAAAGTACCCTATAAAACCAGCAGGTTTGGTTTTGGGTTTTTGTGTGTTTAGTCAAATATTATTCATTGGCTGATCTTTTCCTTTTGCCAAAGAAACTGCTGGGATAAAAGACTGTACACTTTAAAGCTTTGTAAAATACCTAATTAAAATATTCACTACAAAACCAATTCCAGGTTCTTTTCAATTTGTGTGAAAATAATAACAATAGTTCTAGGAGAAAAATAATTAAAGAGAGCTTGTTTTCAGTACTGTCGGTCTGTGGCACAGTTTTGTTTTATGGACATAAGATAATCTTTTGTGCCTAGAAACTGGAAAGACTTCGTGATAAAAGCCAGATGTGATTGTGCTGGGAGAGCAGGTTGAATGTTTCAGTGAGCAATCTAGGGAATCCAATGGATGTGCACAGCATATTTAACACATCGTAAGGTGCACTTCAGAAGTGAATAGGTGAAGGAACCCAATGGGAAGGCTTAAGCTTTGTGTTGTAAAATGAGTATAGCTACAGAGAATAGTAATGCATATGCAAAGTGCTGAACACCGAAATCAGTAGCGACTTTGCCAATAAAGCTGGGAAACAATGAGGTCTGTCCAAGATCTGAAGTATGGAACTAGAGCTGTATCACCATACATCATTATTTCCATCTGCTGTTTTTATGTCCTCTGCTGACTCCAAACTCCCTCTGGTCCCTGTTTTGACAGCCTGAATAAAGGGAGCTTGTGGCACAGTGCATTGAGCAGGTCAGTGAGCGTGGACTGATTTCTGACTGGTATAAATCTTTTCAAATGTTGGGTTTGGTTTTCTTTTTTTCAGAGCCTAACTTTATTGCTGCCTATGACATTGGTTTGTTCACCTACTTCTTCTTCCGTGAGAATGCGGTAGAACATGATTGTGGGAAAACAGTGTATTCTCGTGTGGCAAGGGTTTGCAAAAATGATATTGGAGGAAGATTTTTGCTGGAGGACACATGGACAACTTTCATGAAGGCCAGGCTGAACTGCTCCCGTGCTGGAGAAATCCCTTTCTACTATAATGAATTGCAAAGCACCTTCTACCTACCTGAACAAGATCTGATCTATGGTGTCTTCACTACTAATGTGTAAGTTGTACTTGTTTTACTGCCCTTCTTCTATTCCCAGCAGTCTGAGACTGACAATATCCTGATTTCTTAAGATACTCTGAGTAATCATTTTCAAAAGATCCTTTGGTTAACTTGAAGGAATAGATAGGTCTGTGTTATCCATCATGGGAATATGGCCTTTAGAACAATGTTTTTAATCCATGGCTCATAGATTCCTGGAGTCCATAAAAGGTGATTGTGCAGTTCTAGGGTAACTTCGTTTGATATAAACCCGGGCTGTGACTGTTTTTTTGTAGTGGCAATGCTGCTTGTGTAGTTCAGAGACACGGCCTAAAAATGACCCAACAGAAAAACATAATTACATTTCAGCCAGGCTAACTGTTGGGACAATCTGACACAATTATGTGAACACTGGGACTGGCCATGAGGTGGACAGGTACATATGCTTGAGAGAGAAGGACTGGAAGGAGGAGAATGAGGCAGATGGGATCACAACAGCCTAGACTGAAATCAGCAAATTGCTGTTGAACAGCACTTCATAGTAGCAAGGTCATGTGGGCTACAGCATTTGACATTTCCCAGGGGGACTGTACCTCTGCTATAGATTTTTCCAGGTCCACAAATCAAAAGCAGCGTTAAACTCTGAGAGGAAGGTATGATTTCTGAAACTTCATAATCACATTTTCTTGGCTTGATATTGAAAAAAAATTGTAATTGGAATGATTTAGTGTAGCTGTGAAAGCACAAAGGAGGAGTTAATTAAAAAACATATTAAAAAAATCTCATAATATATATTTTTTAGTCAGGAAAACTCAAATAACTTTTTCTCTGAAGCCCAAGGCTAGGATGATAAGTTTCAAGCTATAACTGGTCTGCATGGTATTGAGTTTCAATAATACATGTTCTCCATGGGGGTGTTACCCCTGAAGTGTAAACTAGCGAATGAAAGTCTGAGTTAGTTACTCCACACGACAAGCACTCTAAGTACCTTCCTTGTGCTGCATAGCCAACTTTTTTTTGGTTTTTGTGTGCAGTGCAGTACTGTTCAATGTGAATAATAGTCTGTTCCCAAGAAGCCGTCAGCAAACCAAAGCGAAGCCCCACTGAAGTACACAGGCCTTCCTGTGTCACTTGCTGGTGTGACAGGGCTTGAACTTCAGCCCTTGAAGTCACAAAGCATCAGCCCCAACTTCTTGAGCTAAAACATTGTTGGGAATTTCACTATGAGAGTTAACATAGCCTGAATGTTATTCCCACTCTGTAAATGCTTGCCTCCTCTGCCAGGAAGTAGGTGTTTGGCCACCCTCATCCATCTTCCATGTTTTGTTTCTGCACTACCATTGCCAGTGTCAGCCAAAAGTGAGTCAGTGGAGAAGCAACCACAAAAAATAAACATGGCTGAGCTGTGCACCTTGACTGTGGACTTTGGGGAAAATCTGTCCTGGGATTGAAAGTAGCATTAGTAGTGCTCTAAAAACAGTTAGAGAATGTTAGCCAAATATCCTGAACATTAAAAGGGCACCTGGCTACTGCTTTTGGCAGTTGAGATTATACTGGGTTTTGTTTTGGTTTTTATTTTGTTTGTTTGTGAGGTTTTTTTCAATCAAGGAGGACTTCTATGCCCATAGTAATAATGTTTTAACTATCCATTTTTCTGTTCATCCAGCCAAGAACAGAAGTTGAAAATGAGAAAATTATTAATAAATTGTATTATTTTTATCAAATTACACAATTAGTTTTTGGACTATGAGTGGGGAGACATAGGCAAGCTCTGGTTCTCTTCTGCTGTGTCTGTCTCCCAGGTTTAACATGAGACATGACAAGCGTTACCCATCTCCTTTGGGTTACATTTAAGGCACTCTTCATACATTAGGGATGCACATTCTCTCTTGTATCTTCTGAGGACAATATAATATGTAACATTTGTTTAATTGAAGAAATAAGTTATTGATAATAGCTGAAGTTAGATCAAGGAGCATTTTGGGTCTACAACATTATGTTCTTTTGAGAGTTCAAAGAGAAAATGTTCCAATTTGTCATCTGACTGGAGAAATAATGGTAATTATTCTTTTAACTTCCACTGGGACTTTCATTCTGCTGCATGAGCTCTGCATACCAAAGAGGGTTGCTGTATGCTCCAGTCCGAGTTTCTTTATAATCAAACACCAATGCATTGCAAAACTATGACTTGTTTGTTTGCTTGTTTAAAGGTATTCTTATTTTGGAAAATTAATTAATGTATTTAGGGTCATCTTATAACAAGGGGGTATTAGTGGTTATGGTAACACCCACATATAGACTTACTGTTTCATGTTATGTTACACCCAACTGCATCAGTGGGAAAGAGAGCTTTTCGGGGAAGCTGCTGATGAAATATTTAAGATGTTTTTATTAAAAATTTTCTGGGAGGTAGCAAAGACAACGTTAAAATCTCCTTGAACTTAACTTACTCTTTAAACCACCTAGTTAATCGCAGCATGTAGGAGGTGGGAATAAAGGAGATAGATTGCACCTCTCGCCAGGACAACAGGAGCCAGCTGCAAAAGTTGATGTCACTGGCTTGAGACTGGGATCCAGCTTTTCATAGTGAGGGATGGGAAATATGCCAGGCCACAGATGGAAAGGAAAACAGGCCACAGATTTAATGGAAAACCTCTTTCCTTTCTCCAGTATAGCAAAGGGAAAGGGCTAAATTATGGAGTCCTTATCAAGGCCCTAAAAATATAAATTAAAAAAATATTTTTGTTAGACTAGTGGGGTTATATTCTTTCTCTACCTTTTTTGTTTTCTTTCTCATTCTCCCTTTTTTTTCCCATATGTGCCTCAAGGCATTTACTTGTTATCCATCATTAGCTTTGCCTTAAGAGCTGCCGTCTGTGAGCATGCACTGCGTCAGTGGTGTTCAGACAAAAGTGGAGAAAGGTTTGCCTGATGTTGCTTTGACATGTTCAAAGTGAGCTATACCATCACTCCAGGGATGTAAGGGACAGGGGCAGGAGCGGAGAATGGGAAGACAAAGTAGGAAGCTCTTCCTGATGTTGTACTGCTTGGAAGAAATATGCTGTGAAAGAATCTGTTCTTCTGCTTGCCAGCCTGAGATTGTGGAGCAAGGCTTTTTTTTTTTTTTTTTTTTTTTTTTTTTTTTGTGCTAGAGAGCGTAATTATTGGTTGAGTTTAAAAAATGTGTTCTTTTCAGAGAATTCAAATTGCTTTAATTAGCAGAAAGATACATACAGCAGAGCTTGGGTTATTTAAAAAGGCACTGTGACAAGTCAGTCTCTTGTGCTAGCCCTATTTTTAGTTTTATTCTGATATCTTTTTTTATGAATGTTGTTCTTTTTTCTAAAAAAAAAAAAGAAAAGCGGGGGAAGGGGAGGGCAGGGAGCAGTTTTCAATTTTGGGTTACCACTTAGCACAGGTCCCTGTTTGGGCCAGCTTCCTTGAGGTACCCTCACTATCTGGGATGTGCCCTCCGACCCTCTTGAGGCAAAAGGAGCTGAGCATGCTCAGGATCTTCCAAAAATGAGTCTCCATGACTGAAATGGAACAGCAAAGGCCAGCTAAAATGTGTATGAGTCTGACTGGGCAGCAGAGCATCCTTAAAACAAATTCTGTTCCAAAGAGTCCTTTCTGCAGCAGCATTTCCGTAGCCATGCCTCCCCTGGCTGGTGCGTGCATGGTGAATCGTGTGCCTGAGACAGATGCTATTCCCAGCTGGGAACACAAAGAAGTGAACTGTGATCATTGAAAACACGTATTAGCAAGGCCATTTTGCATGCTGAGCTGCTATAAC